TGAGAGCCAAATCTAAGATTTTCTGCCTCTTCCAGAATCATTTAACAAATAAAATTAAGTCGCTAGGAATGAACATATATCTCTCATTTGGGCAAGGAATTTTGATCTTGGTCTTACCTACGATACGCTTTGTAAAATTCAGACAAATGAAACTGCTATGTGCAATTTTAGTTAAGAGCAACTTATAAAGAAAACTAACATAATACTCAAGCCAGCTGGTTTTCTGTGTTTTCGGAGTGGGCAGCGGGGTAGAGGAAGGTCAGTATTGATGAGGAGGAAGTGGCCTTGCAGCAGGTGGACGAAGAAGTGGCAGGCTGTGCTACAGAGGGAGAGGAGGTCTGTGAGATGGGGAGAGGAAGAGAGTCCATCTGTAGAGGAGTGTCTAGGGCATAGTCCATATTCTCAAGGGAGACATTTCTTGGAAGAAGATAGAACAGCTGGAGTTTGAAATGGAGAGCAAGAAATAAATGTGATCGAAGTCTAGTTCTGAAGCTCATAAATAAAAGTTGACTTGGGCAATAACTATTCCAATCAATCAGTGGCAGATTTTATTTTTATTTGTTTGTTTGTTTTGGGATGGCACGTAGAATATTTTGCCTGGGTTGTGAATAGATAACTCATCCCTGTCCTTTGAATAGGCCATAGTTGGATTTTTTTTAAAAAATTGCCTGCAATAATGCGTTTTTTTCTACTCGCTGCCATTTTCTTTACAGTGCATAAAGAATGGACTCTTTCTTCACCTTGAGAAAGTACCTAAAGGTCTCCTTTGTCTCCAGAAAGTACCTAAAGGTTTCCTTTATCTCTCATCTGTGTCTCCTCCTTGTCCCCCAAATGATCCTGTTTTAACAACCATAACAACTACTTGCTCAGAGGTCTGGGAGAAAAGTCAATACTCTGGGTATAACTGGTACTTTCCACTGGGTTTGACTTGTTGATAAATAATTATTCTCGAGTAATATTAAAATGTATGTTGTTTGATTTCATTCCACGTGTGAAGTATTTGCTACTGATGAATGTACGAGCCGCTGCACAATAGTTCTTGGGCAACTAGTTGTTCCTAGAAAAATAGGGAATAAAATGTGAAATGGATGCTTCAGCAGAAATTGGTTACTGGAGAAAACTCTTATGTTTGAGCATTTAGGAAATTTTATTTGGATGACTAAATGAAAGCTGCCTTGAATTACTTCAAATATAGAACTGTGACCTTAAAAAGGCATTTTTTACACATGGGGAATGCAAACCAATACATTATGTTCCTGTAATTGTTCTAACTGTCAAACTGTTTAAAAAGTCTGCATTATTATTACTATTAATCCTCCCATCCTTCCTTTTACCCATCTTCTCCCACTTATGACTGTATGACTGTAACCTTGTTGCTTGTATCCTAACAATTTTTACTGACTGTTTCCTAGTATGATTGGATTGCTTATTGTACCCTATGACTATTATTAAGTGTTGTACCTTATGATTCTTGACGAATGTATTTTTTCTTTTATGTAACTAAGAGAATATGCATCAAGACAAATTCCTTGTGTGTCCAATCACACTTGGCCAATAAAGAATTCTATTCTATTCTGCTCTGCTCTGCTCTATTTCATGAAATTATATTATGCAAAGTATCTGAGTTCCAATGAACTGTGTCTATATTTACTGTTTAGGCAGTTAATGTACGTAGGTTCTATTCTGAAGAAGAAAATAAGAGTAAGTTGTATATGTAGTGTTTTTCAGTGTTTCCAAAGTATGACCTCATTTCTTCACAAAAAAATTTTTTTTTCCTCAAACACATCAATCTAGATGGGATGTGCAATTAATTGCTTGTTCTTTAAAAAAAGGGAAAAACAGCAATAAGCATTAAGATAAGTATGCTTTTAAAAAAGAGAAGCTTAATGAGTAGTTTTACCCCAAAAGGTCAAGTTTGTCAGTTTATTTGCTTAAATAGGGCTGTTGCTTTGAGAAAACAGCAGGCTAATTAGTGACACAACCCATTGTTTTAAAATACTTGCACTGCAAAATGTAAATGTGAAAAAAAAACCTTCACTTGTCAGGATGAAAAATGACAATAACAGAAAAATAATATGTGGGACATCTGTTTTGACTTTTCTTTTCTTTTTTGAGGTTACACAGGATTTTTAAAATGCATTCCAGGAAAATAATATAGAATTCAAACCCTGAATTGCAAGCAGATTAAAAAGTAAAACAAAGCTGTGTTAACATTTTACAAGTTCAGTAGTTAATGCTATTGTGAAACTGTTAAAGCCTTATCTGGTATGAAATTGCTTTTCAAAAGCCCTTCTACAGCAATGAAAAATAGTACATTAAATCACAGATGGTAGTGAGGTATCTGAGCATGTCAAAGAAACACTGAACATTTTCTTTGAAAGTCATGAATTCCAATTGCCAAATCAGTACCAGGTGTATCTTGTGATAAATTAATCACTTTTTGCCAGCCTAGCAGAATAATTCCTGGAGGTATTGCTTATTGCAGGGGTGTCAAATTTGCATTGTCATGTAACGTATCAGGATTGTTTCCCCTTTGCTAAACTGGCCTTGGGCGTGGCCAGCGTGTGACACATCTGGCATGCGGGCCGCAAGATTGACAGCCCTGGCTTATTGGATGGGAGAAACAGTAGTAGATGAAAGGCAAGATTCACATATCTTACTCTTTCCTTCCCTCCCAGTTTGTCTAGCATATGTGTAGCATGTATTGAGACATTCGATTTTTCATTTACAGAAGATTTCACAGGTGTCAAACTCGATCGTGTCACACTATCATGACCATTTTCCCTTTGCGGAATCGGGATGGGCGTGGCCTGTGCTTGACGCATCTGTCCTGCAGGCTGCCAGTTTGACATCCCTGAGCTATATAGTTGCATGAATATGAGTGAGACTTGTAGCAAACAGCTGTTCAGCTAGCCAATTATGCCTCCTGCTAAGATCTTCCTTTTCCCTCCCGTAAGGTTAGAGATCATTCTAAAGCCACCCCAAGCTGGAGGAATCAGTATCCTGGTTTGTGTAGGATGCAATCCTCCATTAGCTATTTTAAGGTTGATGGTCTTCATAAATTCTTTTGTAATGCCATAAATCTTAGTCATTCTCACAATATATATGGGATTTTATTGTCTACATAAAGACTCAGAGAGGGAGTTTCATTCTAATATATGGAATGGAATTTCACTCAAAAGATACAGTCTAGAAACAGGAATGGATAAAAATTTCTCTTCAGTAATATTTTAAAACAAATATTTTTGTTTTTTCTTGTCATTTGTAAAAAATTTCTCAAGTGACATTCTGCCTCAGTATTTTTTTTAAAAAAGATGATCAAATGAATACAATCTTTGACAATACACAAATAATATTTTTCTGCAAGAAGCTGAAGAAAGTATGCTTTCCCTTTTGAAGCTGACATTTATAAATGTGGTAGAAAATATTTGCTTATCATGGAGTTTGTATTGAATGAGAAAACAGATGTGCTCGTTGTTGCATTTTATGTTATGCATCAATTTATTTATCAATTAGTTAGTCTTATTTTAAAAAAAGGTAAGATATTTGCCTAGACAGTCCATGCCATTTCTGAATTACTTTGGAGTCAAATTCTGAAGTGTTAGAAGAGGTGGGGGGAAAGGGGGAAGCAAAAGATTTGGATGACAATATTAAGAGATTTTATTTATTAGATGACTCTGCCAAAACATTTAATGTCTTGGCGATGGTCTAAACCAGGAGTATCAAACTGACATCATCACAGCAGCATCACATATCAGGATTTTCCCCCCTTCGCTAAACCAGGCGTGGGCATGGCCACTGTGTGACGCATCCGGTCTGCGGACCAGGAGTTTAACAGCCCTGGTCTAAACTATGTATGGTGACCATATTTTCTTGGGAAAAAAGGAAGGATGAACCTAAAAAAGAGGCAAATTTGAAAGAAGTCATGAGGATAAAAAAATTGTAATTGTTTTTATAACTTTGCTTTACAAAGGAATTTCAAAAGCAAAAAAGAGCAAAAAACCAAGAGCAATTTTGCTAAAAAGCATATTCTAATAAAAATATCTGAAGTGTTAAAAGCTAACATACAAAGCTAATAGAGAACTAATTTGGTACAGTGGTTAAGGCATCCACTTAGAGTCATCTCAAACTGTAAGATAGATGACAAAGAGATTTAATAATAATATAAGAGAAAGAACTGGAGAAAACAACAAAATACAAAGACCTGCAAATAGAAATAGAACAACTGTGGCAAAAGAAAGCAAAGACCACATTGGCTGCAATCCCAAAACAATTGGAGCACCACTTAAACACCATCGGCATTGACAAAGTCACCATCAGCCAATTACAAAAGGCAGCTTTACTCGGAACAGCTTACATTCAGCAATGATACCTCTAATACCATTAAACCATTAAAATTTGCACCAAGACAAATTCCTTGTGTGTCCAATGACACTTGGCCAATAAAGAATTCTATTCTGTTCTGTTCTAAACATCAACATCTGCCTATCCCAGGTGCTTGGGAAGGACTGATAGGTAGATAAAAATGCCAAATCCAGTCTGAACTTCTAGCTGACTAAATAATCAGGCTAAGAACTTGAAGACTAAGAGTTCTAGTCCCACCTTGGGCCATTCACTTTCTCTCAGCCCTTGGAATGCTGCAATGGCAAACCACTTTTGAAAAACCTTGCTAAAAAAGCTGTAGGAACTTGTCCAGGCAATCCCTGAGAATCAGACATGATTGAACAAAAGGGATGGGGGTGGGGAGAGAGAAGCAAGTATTAAAAAGGATTTCTGCAATCCAAATGTGTTTTAAGTGATACCATTTGTATAGTAAAAGTTAAATGACCAAAATAAAGGACAAAAGTGAGTTTTTGAAAAAATAAAATCTAAAGTCAGCTTTCTGAAATAAAGGACAAGTAGTCATTTTTTATATATATCCTGCAGCAGTAACATTGGTATAAAGAAAATACCCAAAACTTATGACTCATTCTTAATTCTGGTTCTTTTCTCCATTTCAGGAGAGTACATTAAAACATGGAGGCCAAGGTACTTTCTGTTGAAGAATGATGGAACATTTATTGGCTATAAAGAGCGACCTCAAGATGTCGACCAGCGAGAATCCCCCTTAAATAATTTTTCAGTGTGTCGTAAGTATTTCACAAGTTTCAAGATCTGTCCCTAACAAATTGTACCTTTTGAAAATGATTTAGCTACTCAAGTCATTTTTCCGCTAACACATATGTATGACATACTTATACATGTACATATTCATAGTCACCCCATACTCCAAAACAAAGGAACCCCCCCAAAATTAATAGTTTGGAAATAATTAGTATTGATTAAAATTAATTATTCTTTAAAAGAAACTAACCAATTTATGAAAGCCTGTGCATACATGCAGAAATATAATTCTTGCACAAAACATACAAGTACAACATACACATTTGTTCTTCTTTCCTTCCACCAGAAACAGCCAAAAAAAAAAAAAAAGATGGAGAGGATAGGAGGGAAGAGGTAGAAAGAGAAGGAAAGAAAATATATAAGGGATGTGGGAGTTTAGCTGCTGCTATCATTCCTGTCTCATAGAGGGTTAAAGTTTTACTAAAATATGTGTGGAATCCAGACTTTCCATCCAGGGATTCCAATGTGCAGTTTTTTTGGAAGCCTTTATTTTTATTGATATGCAAGCTCTATTCTACCTCTCCTTTTTGTGAATAACTCCTCCACTTCCAAGATAAAGGGGTGTGGGAGAAGTTTTTTTTTTCTTTTCATGTAACATTTAGTAGTTGAATGATGATTCAGTTACACCATATATACTAATCATTGTTTTTATAGTCATTTTTTTAAAATAAGATGACCCTTCCTGTTTAAGAGGAAAGTTTAGCAAGTTTGGAAGTTGCAGGAAAAAAATGTAGAAATAGGCAAAAAACAAGGGAGAAATCCTCAATAAGGGAATCTGTTTATTAGAACCAGGAAAAAATTATGTCTGGGAAGAGGGAAGGTAAAGCTAACAGAATGGATTGTGTATTAGGTCAAAATTCTGAACAGAAGTACATTGCAGGATCTACTTTTATCTTATCTGCTCTAAAGCCCTGTGTAAAAAAATATAACAAACCTAGCAATACCTAAGCAATTGTTACATAGCATCAGAACTCTGTGGCAACAATTTTTAGTCTATTGATGACCATAACTTAAAAAGAAAGTGAAACAGATAGAAATGTGCAAACTCTTTAACAAAATGGGTATTGCATATTTTTATTAACATAAAGCTCCCTTTCACTCCCTTTTATTATTTGCTATATTTTATTTCACATCTTGTTTATGAAGCTGCTTTCCAGCTTGCAACATAGCCATAAGCAACCTACTTCTTTATAGACGAAGTGATTTTCTGAAGCTTCATAGCAAGTAGTTTGAAATTCAGTCATGTATTTGTCCTTCTGAAAGTCATGTTCTCTGTCCTTAGTATTTCAGCTGTCCTTTCCATAGATTTCCTAGATAGTCATTTACAGATAAAAGGAGATGGAAGGTTCTTTTCTTGACATTTATCAGTCTGTGGGATGATGCCATTAAAGGCAGAAAAAGGTGTTGGATACTTCCATTACATCATGTGAAATCTGACCCTTTTCTTAAGTGCTTGGGGCAGAGTAAATATTTCGACATTCTCGGAAGATACTAGGGTAATTTAGGGTGCCTCTCAACCACATAATGGCGATTTGCATCTGAATGCACTGGTATCTATTTATGTCAGAAACACTGTTCACCTCCTACTTATATTTCAAGGACCCAGCCACCATGAATGAATTGGAGTTTAGAGTTCTTTTAACAACAGACTTTTTAGACACACTTGAACTTCCTTATTTTGGTGAAGAAATGTATTTAGGGAAGAAGGAACAGTTGATCACAAATAGGGATTAATATTTTCATCTGATTTAGTTCTCTTTTGAAAAACGAGGAATTGGTTGTGTGTGTGATGCAGGTTTATACATGCCGGTACTACAAAGGTAACTAAATGAGAAAAGTACATCTGAGAATATGTACTTTTTTCCACGTCTAAGTACAATTGTGTGACATTCATAGACATCATAGGAATATTGGAACTTATCTTTTATTGTTTCAGAAAATTGTTCCATCCCTCCTTGAAGATCCAAGACATTTATACTTTATATATGTAAATCAAGTGATATACCATGAACCATGGTGCCTTCAAGGACCACAGCCATGTTAAATATTATTGTACCATACAGTCCGCAGCTGGGAATTAGTTAGAAATCTGATCTGGGAATTTCCCCATTCAAAACCCAACATGATTAGTTTCTGGTGCTTTTAAAACATAATATAAAGTAGATACCAGCCTTGTAGAAATGTCACCCCTTTTTACATAAGCTACAAGGTCTTCCAGCTGAAGCTAATTGTGAAATATCTTTGGAGTCATTACTCTTCTTGAAAATTATGAAAGGGTTCATTTATTCACTATTGTTTGCTTAATTTGGGTTCATTTAATAAGCCATAGTTTCTGGGTTCATACATCTCATTAGGCCATTATACAGGGTTCATATAAAATGTAATACTAACCAAACAATAACTCTTTCTCAGTCTGGTCTATAAAGGTTATGACTTAGTACAGACCTTGACTTATTTTGTTTTATTTTTGTTTTATTGTTGTCAAAACTGTCTACTTGATCTGCTGGAAATAACAGGAAAAAACCCACAATTTCTTTGCCTCTACCTGTTCACCCCTTCTAAAACACAGGTTGCATTGTATATTTATGGCCAAATTGTTGCATGAGCTTGTCAGAGTTCCTCCTAAATATCATTCTACTCACATAATCTTTTGGCAAAGTATTTCCTGATCATCTTCTGGATTTTGTGCACTTCCTGAGGTCTGCCTCTCTTATTGTTGCTCTTGTATGGATCAGTCAAAATTCTGCACATTTTAAGTCTGTCCAAGATTTAGGAATGGATTGCTGTCTCCCCACCCCCCAACCCCCAAGACAAATGTTTGGAATGTTACACAGGATCTCTGAAGAAAAATGTGCTTTGAATTCAGCTTCCAGTGCTGTACTCCTAATGACTTAATGGTCTTATCTATTTTTTGGCAAGACTAGATAAGTGGTTTGTTGCTGTCCTCTTTTCAGGATTTTTAGTTTTATTTCCTTGCCTAACCAACAGGCTCAAATTTCTTGATGGTCTCCCGTAACCAGGTCAGACCCAGCTTAGTTTTGTCATTGACTAATTGTTTCTGTTGTATCATTTGTTTTCCATGGGGAAAGAATCATATTGTGGGTAGACTAGACTAGAATATTTTCCAGCAGATCTCCTTCGCCTTCTCAAAACTCATCATCTAAATCTTTTGTGATGTCATTAACTCCTTAGAAGATTAGTGTTCTTTCCTTACAGTTAAATCTTGTTGCCACTATTTGATTTGAAATCAATAGGATTGTTCATATGACTTTGGGTTACTGTTCAGTCACTGTGAATTAAAGATACATACAATCTTATTGGCATGCATTGAAATGTATTTGAAATGTATTAAGATTCAGGAATGGTGATTTTGGGAACCACCTGAAAGATTTATTATACCATACTGGAAGGAGAAATCTATGTCTCATTTGCAGATGTTGTATGTATTGTTTTCCCACATTTAAATTAGTATTATTTTTTCTTCCCAAAGTTGCAAAGAAGATTTGAGGGCAATAGGAGTCAGATGTTTTGGTTTTGTTTTTTAAACAATTTCCCAGCCCTTTTTAAATTCTGCTTTTCCTATGCTTATGAGAATTAAATTTAACTGTTTACTTTATTTAAGTAGCTGGATAAAATAGAAAATTAAGTTTCCCATGTAAGTGCTACATCTTCTGGAGAGAAATCATATTGTTTGTATTTTCTGTTCTACATCCAGCCAATTTTGCTCTTCAATAAATATAAATATAAATATAAAAAATATCAGATACCGGATGAAATATGTGCCTACTTCTTAAAAAAGCTACCCACTGCCATAGCCGAACCTCTAAGCATAATCTTTGAAAAATATTTCAGGACCAGTTCCTTGCCAAAACTATGGTCACAAGCCACGGTCATCCCCATCTTCAAAAAGGGAGACCCCAGCCTAGTTGAAAATTACGGACCAATCTCTCTCT